AGTGGGAGCACTACATCATTTCTGATAAGTATATGTGAATGACATATTGTTGATCGAAAATAATGTAGAATTTTTCTGGAAAGCATAAAAGAGTGTTTGAAAGGAGTTTTTCAAAGAAAGACCTTGGTGAAACTGCTTACACATTGAGCATCAAGATCTATAGAGATAGATCAAGACGCTTGATAAGATTTTTCAATGAGTACATACCTTGACAAGATTTTGAAGTAGTTCAAAATGGAATAGTCAAAGAAAGAGTTCTTGCCTGTGTTGCAAGGTGTGAAGTTGAGTAAGACTCAAAACCCGACCATGGCAGAAAATAGAAAAGAATGAACAGTCATTCCCTATGCCTCAGTCATAGGTTCTATAAAGTATGCTATGCTGTGTACTAGACCTATTGTATACCTTGCTCTGAGTTTGGCAAAGGAATACAATTTTGATCTAAAAGTAGATCACTAGAACAGCGGCCAAGAATATTCTTAGTGAGGACTAAGGAGATGTTTCTCGATTATGGAGGTGATAAAAGAGCCAGTCGTAAAAAGTTACAACGATGCAAGCTTTTACACCAATCCAGATGACTCTAAGTCTCAATCTGGATACATATTGAAAGTGGGAGCAATTAGCTAGACTAGCTCCGTGCAGAGCATTGTGGACATAGAATATTTGCAAAATACATACGACTCTGAATGTGACAGACCCGTTGACTAAACTTCTCTCATGAGCAAAACATGATCATACCTTAGTACTCTTTGGGTGTTAATCACATAGCCATGTGAACTAGATTATTGACTCTAGTAAACCCTTTGGGTGTTGGTCACATGACGATGTGAACTATGGGTGTTAATGATATACAGATATGAATATTGGTGTCAAATCACATGGCGATGTGAACTAGATTATTGACTCTAGTGCAAGTGGGAGACTGAAGGAAATATGCCCTAGAGGCAATAATAAAGTTATTATTTATTTCCTTATTTCATGATAAATGTTTATTATTCATGCTAGAATTGTATTAACCGGAAACATAATACATGTGTGAATACATAGACAAACATAGTGTCACTAGTATGCCTCTACTTGACTAGCTTGTTGATCAAAGATGGTTATGTTTCCTAACCATAGACATGTGTTGTCATTTGATTAATGGGATCACATCATTAGGAGAATGATGTGATTGACTTGACCCATTCCGTTAGCTTAGCACTTGATCGTTTAGTATGTTGCTACTGCTTTCTTCATGACTTATACATGTTCCTGTGACTATGAGATTATGCAACTCCCGTTTACCAGAGGAACACTTTGTGTGCTACCAAACATCACAACGTAACTGGGTGATTATAAAGGTGCTCTACAGGTGTCTCCGAAGGTACATGTTGGGTTGGCGTATTTCGAGATTAGGTTTTGTCACTCCGATTGTCGGAGAGGTATCTCTGGGCCCTCTCGGTAATACACATCACTTAAAGCCTTGCAAGCATTGCAACTAATGAGTTAGTTGCGGGATGATGTATTACGGAACGAGTAAAGAGACTTGCCGGTAACGAGATTGAACTAGGTATTGGATATCGACGATCGAATCTCGGGCAAGTAACATACCGATGACAAAGGGAACAACGTATGTTGTTATGCGGTTTGACCGATAAAGATCTTCGTAGAATATGTAGGAGCCAATATGAACATCCAGGTTCCACTATTGGTTATTGACCGGAAACAGTTCTAGGTCATGTCTACATAGTTATCGAACCCGTAGGGTCCGCACGCTTAAGGTTTCGATGACAGTTATATTATGAGTTTATGAGTTTTGATGTACCGAAGGAGTTCGGAGTCCCGGATGAGATCGGGGATATGACGAGGAGTCTTGAAATGGTCGAGACGTAAAGATCGATATATTGGACGACTATATTCGGAGTTCGGAAAGGTTCCGAGTGATTCGGGTATTTTTCGGAGTACCGGAGAGTTACGGGAATTCGCCGGGGAGTATATGGGCCTTATTGGGCCATACGGGAATAGAGGAGAGAGGCCAAAAGGAAGGATGCCTGCGCCCGCCCTCTGGTCCGAATTGGACAAGGGGCGCAGCCCCCCTTTCCTTCTTCCTCTCCCCCTCTTTCCCCTTCTCCTACTCCAACAAGGGAGGTGGAATCCTACTAGGACTAGGGAGTCCTAGTAGGACTCCACACTTGGCGCGCCCCCTCCTAGGGCCGGCCTCCTGCCCCCTTACTCCTTTATATACGGGGGCGGGGGGGGGGCACCCTAGAGACACACAAGTTGATCTACGGATCGTTCCTTAGCCGTGTGCGGTGCCCCCCTCCACCATATTCCACCTCAGTTGTATCGTCGCGGAGTTTAGGCGAAGCCCTGTGCCGGTAGAACATCATCATCATCACCACACCGTCGTGCTGACGGAACTCATCCCCGACGCTTTGCTGGATTGGAGCCCGGGGAACGTCATCGAGCTAGACGTGTGCTGAACACGGAGGTGCCGTACGTTCGATGCTTGGATCGTTCGGATCGTGAAGACGTACGACTACATCAACCGTGTTGTCATAACGCTTCCGCTTAACGGTCTACGAGGGTACGTAGACAACACTCTCCCCTCTTGTTGCTATGCCATCACCATGATCTTGCGTGTGCGTAGATTTTTTTTTGAAATTACTATGTTTCCTAACAGTTGTGCCTGGTGAGCATGATTGGACAAGGACCCCTGGTCCAGACATAGAACCACCTGCATTCAAACTCAAGAGAGGAAGAAGGAAAGAAAAGAGGATCAAGGGCAAATTTGAAGTACCAAAGCGAAAAGAAACTTCAAGAATGGGGACCATAACATGTGGCAATTGTGGTCTCCAAGGGCATAGGTACACAAACTGTCTTAAACAGTTGAAGCCTGAGCTAGCTTTGAGGAAGAATAAGCATGTGGTAATAATTTTTCACCTTGAAATATACTAATGTTTTCTTTCTTGTACATTTATTTCTAGAATTATTAACTGTTTCCTTTTCTTTGCAAGGCTACTTCAAGTACCTCACAACCAAGAGCTGCTGGTCCTTCTACTGCACCAACAGCAAGACAGCCAAGACCTGCTGCTTCTGCTCCTACACCACCATCATCTGAAAGAAGAGGAGCTGGCAGAGGAGCTGACAGAGGAGCTGGTGCTAATTCTACTACAACACCACCATCTGGAAGAGGAAGAGGAGCTGGCAGAGGAAGAGGAGCTGCTACTTCTACTACACCACCACCATCTGGAAGAGGAAGAGGAGCTGCTACTTCTACTACACCACCACAATCTAGAAGAGGAGCTGGTAGAGGCAGAGGAAGAGCTGGAAGAGGTGCTCCAATGCCATTCATTGCCCCCAGGCAATATGCTGACATTCCTACTGATGGCACCCACACTGGATGGATGTCCTACTTCACTGCTAGCATGGGAGGAGGAGGAGCCATGTAATGTGAAATACTATGGTGTTATTTTGGTTGAACTTGATGCTTGAGGTGGAGTACTGGTGGAGTACTCTAGTAATGTTGAACTTGATGCTTGTAATGTTGAACTTGAGGTGGAGTACTCTAGTTGATTATTGTAATGTAGAACTTGCTACTGGATATGTGGTTGAACTTTAGGTGATTATCTGAATGTTCACCTTTATGTGGTTATCTGAACTTTAGGTGGTTATCTGAACTATCAGTATTTGCAAAGCAGTACCACATTAGCAGTTACTTGTGACAAATCAGTACCAATACTGCTGCTAGCTGTTGCATGTCAGTACCAATATTGGGGCATCACATAACATGCAATACCACATTTGGGGATTCTGACATGTGGGACAGATACCTCTCCTACTATTAAAGTGACAGCACAAGATCTCAAAGTGGGGACCAAAACTAGGGTTCATCCACGCAGTGGACATTTGTAGCGTAGCCAAGGAGAAATCTCAGAGGCGCTGACTGGGGACGGCGGCGGAGATGTCGTGGTCGTCCAGTGCCGGGTCCGCTCTCGGATTTCGTCGAGCTGCAGGAAGGAGGGGGGAGGAGTCGCGCTCGCCGGTGCGCTACCGCGAGAACCCAATGGAATACGAGCCTCCAGTGATGTGCCACTGCTCAACTCCGAGGAAGGCGCCAAGATGGATCTCCTGGAGCAGGCAAAACCATGGTAGGAGGTACTATAGCTACGTGGATGCTATGGTGAGTGTTGTTTTTGCCCTAATTTTCTTCCTCTTTCTTCTGTGCAATAGTATGTGGCAGCATGGTGAAATTTGCTTGTGTATCTTAATAGCACGGTGTGGATTTGTGCAATGGCATGACGATCCATTGCCCACATTCTGGAGTGAGCTCATTGGGGATCTGCATGATGAAGTATGGAGGCTTAAAGGTGCAACTGTTGCTAGATGTGAAGATCAATTTCCAATCCTGACTCCAAGTGAAGATGATGGCACAAGGGAGGCCATGTTTCTGTCTCTGCAAACTCAACTCAGAGAGAAGAATTCAGAGATTGCAGGGATTAGGGCCAAATTTCACAATGTGATGTTTCTTTTCATTATATTTGTGCTTGGCTTAGTTGCAGGCAAGATATTAAGTTAGTTAGTTGGTTCAGTTGTAGCCAAGTTGTAATGGATCAAGTTGTAATGGATCAGTGAAGTTATCTTCTGATGCAATGAGATTTAGTGAGTCTTGTTCCTCTTTTATTGCAATGTACTATCTAGTTTGTTGGAACATTGTCATAATGTACCATCATCAACATATCCATCTACATAATCAGCATATCCATACATAATAAGAAACTGATCCATACATAGCAATACATAACCATTGTTCACAATACATAGAGGAGTTCCACTTCAAATGCATAGTTCATCCTTTTCTCACAAAAGGATGAATAGCATAACTACTACATACATACACAACCATAGTTTACCATTAGTACAAGCATACAATACACAACATTATTTCCTAGATGCTAGGTCATTACACAACCATCATTCCCAAAAGGTCAGCAATGCCACTAATCTCATTTTCATCTTCTTCACTTCTCCAAGATGGCCTGAATCCCCCTGAACTTCTCCTTCAACTTTTCATTCTGAAACTCTAACTGCCACTTCTCTTCAATATGCTTTTCATTTCCCTTAAGCAGATCAGCAACCTGAAGCTTCAACTCTAGCTTCTCTTGGGTGAGCTTCTCCCGACACTTAGTTAGCTCTGCATTCTTCAGCTCCAAATTCATACTAGCTTCAGTAAGCACTTGTTTCTCTTTCATTTTGTTCAACTTCAAGTTCTGAATGACTGTTGCTTGAGCTCTTGTCAGGTTGAGCAGCAGCTCATACTTCTGAGTAAGTTGCTGGGTCTCCGCATCTTTCTTTTCCATCTCAGTTGCCATCTTTGCCTTCATATCATCAATCAGTTCTTTTCTTACCTCCTGCTGATATGTAATGGCAGACTGCAGATGTCTGAAATCCACCACCTTATCTTCCTGGAAGTTCATTAGCTCATGCACATCTTGGACTAGCTTGTCATAGTTGGCCTCCAACTTGTTCTTCTCTTCTGTCAGATGGTGGATAGTGAAAGAACTTTCAAGATTGTCATTCACCCTAGCACTTTTGGCATCTTCAACCATTGCCCATAGCTTCAACAATGCATTCTGCATTGTTGGGGGCCACTGGTGATCAACCCATTCAATAAAGCCACAATTGCTACCTTCCTGCAAAAACAACAACAACAACAAAACAGTTCATACAGCAAGTAATTATAGAAATTCACTACAGTTGCCAAAAAGAATGTCTAAATTTAGCATCGGACCACTACATTTAACAAGAGGAGCAGCCACTTGAGTAGCTGACTGACTAGGTTAGTTACTCTACTGTTCATATCAAGGAGTGTTCAACCATTTGTAAGCTACTCTACTACCACTATTAACAAAAATTACTATGCCATTGTACTCCGGCAAAATATACTCATGCTTGACCTAAATAAGCTACTCTAACCACTATGAACCAAAATGTTGACAGCAAGCAGAGTACTCTAGCAAACAGAGTTCAATATGGCACTAACCAAGTAAGAAAAAAAATCAGTATGCCTACAATCCTACAATCCATACCAGCTGTGCACATGCTAAAAACCTCCTGCCTGTGTCTGTTCCTTCAAAGGCAACAAGCCTCTCAGATGCCATGCCGTACTTCTCACATGGAGACATCACATCCAGCTCAAGCCCCTTGTAATCTGGATCTTCAATGCTGAAAGGGACCTGCAGAAGCTCGCACAAAGACAGTGGCCAAATCAGAACCTAGCGAAATCAACCAAATCAAGAAATCCCAAATCTAAAACCCTAACCCTAACCCTGTACTGACCTCGTTGAGACCGTCTGTGGAGGAAGAATGCATGTACGGGAGGCTAGAATGGTCGTCGCTGCTTTCGTCCTCCAAAACCATGGCGTCGGCGGGGCGGTGCGGCGGCCGGCAGTCGGGACGCGGGCGGCGGCGACAGAGGAAACGAGCGAGGAGGAGGGGAGGGGAATGGTGCGACCGGGCTGGAGCTGGTGCGACCGGACCAGGTTGCAGCGGACCGGCTCGTCCTAGTCAGCGCGCGGGCACGCGCCGATTGGCCAGCGTGGCACCTGACGGGTGGGCCCGAGCTGTCGGATCGGGCGTCAATACGTATAAATACGCGTTTTAGCCTTATTTGCAAAAACCCGGACCAATGTTGGTACTGACACGCAAAAATTAGCAATCATGGTACCAATCTGCATGTAATGCCCGAATTGTGGTACTTCTGTGCAATTAATTCTGGATTTTTGGTTTTCCTAGGATAGCTAGATGGATTATAGCCTGTAGGAGTTTTTGCAGTGTTGTGGGCTTTGTGGAAATCTAGAAATGAAACATATTTTGAGAATATTCCTCCATACGATCCTTCGACCGTTACTATGCAATCCGCTTATTGGCTAGTAGAATTCTTGAAATTGTTACAGAAATGAGAACAACGCGGGGCACAAGTCAGAGGAGCAAGGCTTCTGCTACAAGTGTTAGCTGAGATCTTCAACGAGGAGAGAGGCTGGGCTCCAAGCCTCCGATGGTCCTTCGCATTGCCGGTTAAGCTGTTCATAGGCGTTCAAGGTTCTTAGTCTTCAGTTTGGTCTTTGTTGCCGCTGCTATGTAGATGTTACTTCCATGTGACAATTCTGGTTTAGGTATAGCCGAGGTCTTACCAGCGTTCTTTCATTATTTGGCCCGAGTCGAGAGGCACATCTGTAAGAATGAAGTTAGTAATAGTTTGTTAGTGTGTGAGTTTGTTAGACAGTTTGGCTGGGATGTGCAGGATGCTGCCGAAATCTGATCGCGGTGAACACTCGATGGTTGGTGTGTATTATCAAATTTCAAAAATGAAAATTAGGGGGAAACCCCTTAATTCAAGAAAAAGTATATCACTCATATTCTCTAAAAGAAATAAAAGTTGTAGTGGTCATGCTGTAGACTTTAGTTTTCGCCTAGTTTTGCTCTGGTAAGCATCAGAATTGGTTGACCAATCTCACTTGTGGCCCATCGTGTTTCATGGGGCCCACCCACCACTCAAGCTCATTCTTAACCTCTCACATGAAGCGCCCTCCTAGCCATTCGTTCCATCGTCTCTCTCTCTCTCTCTCCTTGTGGCCAATCTTCTACCCCACCCCAGTTGCATGTCCCTCGCCATGCAACTTCACTCGACCCAGTCACATATCCATCACCGACACGTAACTTGCCCTCCACCACCGGACCCAATAGCAATGTCCATCCTCAACACGCAATCTGCGCCCTCCCAACCTCGACCCAGTTGCATGTCCATTTTTGACATGCAACTTGCCCCAACGAACGGACCTAATTGCATGTCAAACCTTGAGACACAACTCCATCCAATCCAGTTGTATGTCCATCCTCGACACAACTTGCCCTCCGACCCCAACATAGTTGCATGTCCACCTTCGACACATAACTTGCTCCCGAGACGACCCAACCGCATGTCCATCCTCCACAAACAACTTGCTTCCTCCCCAATATTGACACGCAGTTGCATGATAAACCTTGACACGTAACTCCATCACGACCTAGTTGCATCGGTATGCAACTTGCCCCAACCCGACCCAGTTGCATGTACATATTCAACGTCCAACTTGCTTCTCCCCCTCACTCGACCCCAACCCAATTACATGTCAAACTTGACACGCAACTTCGTTGATCCAATTGCATGTCCAACCTCCACATGCAACTTGCCCCGACCCAACTTAGTGCATGTCAAACCTTGACACACAACTCAACCAGACCCGGTTGCGTCCAATTTCGACATGTAACTTGCCTACCAACCAGACTCAGTTACATGTCTGTACTCGAGACACAACTTGCCCCCCAACCTGACCTAGTTGCATGTCCACACTCGACACACAACTTGGCCCTAACACCGACCCAATTGCATTTCAACACTCGACACTCAACATGCCCCTCAACCCAATCTAGTTGCCTATGAACACTCACGCACAACTTTCCTCCCGACCCCAACCTAGTTGCATGTACAGTACGACTATAACTGCAAACCCCTGCAATTTGATCAATTTTAAATATGTGAAATCTTTTTTAAATAACATTGAACATATTTTAAATGCACAGTGAATTTTTTAATACACGAGCAAGATTTTTAGATACAAATAAAACATTTTTTCAGATACACAATAAATATTTTTTAAGTAATGTTCAACAAATTTTAATTGATGATGAACACTTTTCAAACATGTGATAACATTTTCTAAATAACATTGCCAATTTTTACGGGACGATCATTATATCAATACTTGGTGGATATTTTAAACACAATTTAATTTTTAAATACAAGATGAAAATATTTCTTATAATGATGCTTTTTTAAATGCACATTGAAATTTTTAAAACACATGATGAACATTAAATTTACGAGATTGTTTTAGGCCCATGGACATTTTTAAGTTTCATGGATATTAAAAAAATGAAAACATTTTAATTTCTCATGATTTTTTATTAACATTGTTAGTTGTGCACACAACAACACATGTTTTGAGTATCATTTTTTATAGAACAACAACTTGCAGTCTCCCATTCAAAATAGGACAACAACTTGCCTATCAAAAAGAAGACATGTGCTGCAACAATTTTTCTCTCTCCGTGTGTGTATTGTGCATGGGACTTTTTATAGTGACCTTTTCTTTGGCTAGATCTTTTTTTATTAAAATGTGCAATGTGTACCACTTTTAAAACCCTTTTTTACCATAACCCTTTTATTTTACCATCTCTTTACTTGACCCATCATGTGAATACTTTTTGTCTTGTACAACAACAACAACAACAACAACAGTGACAATAAGGGCACCCACAATGTCATGATGCCAAATTTGTGACGTGGTCAGAACTTTGACATTAATCTCAAATAGCTCTTCTCCACAGTGTACATGTTTCTCGTATTGTGTACAACAGCCTCATAGTAGGCCCCACTGTAAAAATATAGTACTCCCTCCTTTTTAAAATATAAGGCGCGATTGACTTTGCACGGTCTTTGATGCATGACTTTAACCGCTAATATATATCAAAGTATATGGATTGAACATATATAAATGGCATTGTCATATTTATCTTGCCAAACAAATTTATTTCATATGTCTGTATACTAGTTTTATGGACATTCAATATGTGAAAATCATAGTTACAGTTGTGCAACAAAGACGAGAAAAGTCAAACGACGCCTTATATTTTGAAAAGTAGGGAGTAATAGTTTAGAAAAATTGCCACATATATGCCAATCCCACATTGTCCGCGTCAGTTTGGTGAGATCCATATACTCCCTCCATCCGGAAATACTTGTCATCAAAATAAACAAAAGGGGATGTATCTAGATGTATTTTAGTTCTACATACATTCCTTTTTATTCATTTTGATGACAAGTATTTTCGGACGGAGGGAGTAGTATTTTATTGCCTTGGGAAGTTTGGCACCGAAGCACGAAGAAGCTTCGGTGCACATTGGTTTGGCTACGGCACTTGTCTCCACAATGTGTGATGACGCTGTCAGAAACTGAAACTCAATTTGGCAATTTGGCACACATTATGGGTGCCCTAACAACGACAATAGCCCAGGCCCAGTAGAAGATTGTCGGGGTGGAGGCCTGTGGTGTGCTGGAGGGGGCCGGCAAGACAAAGCAGTGTCAAAACAAAAAACAAAGTTTTGTAAAAAAAAAAAGACACCAAAAACAAGTGGGGACAACAAACACCAAACTTGCACTTCGGTCAGAAGGAGTGGAGATCCATCCACCGGCTGGAACAGGATCTGAACCCGTCCCGCGGCTACCTACAACCGCGCGCCACCACTACGCCGTAGCCACCGCCCAGAACCACGCGCGACGCAACATCCAGGCAGCCCCGCCCAGAAATAGCCACCTCCGGCAGCTACATAACACCGCTCCGACGCCTCTCCCCACGCCACATCCACAGCGAACCAAGCCTCAGAGAACACCACGCACAGCAGCACCACCACCGCCACCGCCACCACCAGGAAGCGCAGTAGTCGACGCAGCTGAGCCAATGGCCCGCCGCACGGCCCTCATCCTCGCCGCGCTCCTCCTCGTCGCCCTGGCCGTCGCGCCGTTGGCCAATGCCAAGAAGGCCGCCAAGGAGGAGAAGGCCTCCGACGCCCCCTCGGCCGACGCGCCGGCCGCCGACTCACCCGCGGAGGGGCCCTCCGATGGACCGGCGGCTGCCCCCGGGCCTGAGGGCATCGCCGGCCTCTCGCCCGACAACGACGACAACGACGACAAGTGAACCCGAGTGCATGCCCTTTGGAAGGATCCGTTCGATGCTGATCAGATCGTCCGCATGGATTTTAGTTTCGAGACAATAATAATACTACTACGTATAGGCCTGTTGCCCTGCTAGGAGGATGCCGTCGTAATTCAAATTTTTGTTTTTCCGTCTTTTCAAGTGTTATTATGAGCCGTGTTATTTGTCGTGTTCCTTAATTCGTGTTATTTGTAATAATAGTATTTATTGAATCAAATATTTCTGTGTTACCATATATATGGCTCCCTTCAGCTTGCAAATCATTTTTAAGTAACACACATTCTCATATGTCGTAAGTGAACGCAATAATAATTTAGAGAAAATGCTATCTGGTGAACGTTCGTTAGGAGGCCAATCGTGACGAAGGCCCTAGCTAAACGAGGGTGGTAGTATCCTACACAAAACTGCCATTAATTAGACCAACTACCATGGAAGTTTTGCAAAAATGCCACTCCTTCCACCAGACTCGCCTTTCACAAATGCCATACTGGCTGGAAATGACCCTTGGCTATTGTGGTCCTAATTCAGGGTGTTACGCCACAGACAAATAGCCGTCGAAACAACTTCTAGCAAATCCAAGAAAGAAAGAAGAGGATTACCACACGT